GTGTACAGACAAGCGATCGCCAAGGCCCCGCCGTCACCGAACTGGGCAGCGTGATGAGTACATCAGGGAGAAATACGGAGACCTAGACGTCCTGATTGAGAAGAAGATCGAAGATCGCATGAATCCTGTCCGGCTAAGGATGCCACTGAGCGAGTTCTTAGACAACTACCACCACAAGCAATGGTACGTGGTGTCCTTGTTGCCAGACCCCATGAGGGCCGAAATGCAGGTGCCTCGTTCGTTACTCTGCGGGAATTTTAAGGACAGCATCCTAGAATCGAACCTGTGGCTGTCGTCAGGTGGGACGAGGTCGGTTCTACACTACGATGCAGACCACAACATACACTGTCTGATCTCCGGGCGCAAAGACTTCATCATGATCCCCAACAAGCACGGCGACAAGCTCGGCTTGGCAGACAAGAAGAAAGCCGGATCCGGGTTCACTCACATGGACGTGGACAAAATCGACCTCGTGAAAAATCCGCAAGTGGCGGAAGTTCCCTGGACCTGGGCCACGCTCCTACCCGGGGACTGCATCTTCATTCCCTCGCAATATTTCCACCAGGTCCGGTCGTACGGGCGCAGCGTGGCCGCCACCATCATGTGGGACCCTTTCGCCGAGTTCAACGACACGGGCTGCGACAAGGAAGACATCGACAAGTACACGGCGCTGAGCGATGTCAGGCTGCAGTGGACGTACCACAAGGGAGACAAGGTCATCGACATGGGCTACATGAACGTGGAGATACTGAGGAAAGCCTTTCTAGGCATAATGAAAGACAAGAACGTTGAGAAGTTTACCCCCGAATTGCTCTCACTTATTTACGAGCACAACTTTCTGGACGAAGAAGAAGGCGAGGAACTGGGAGAAGAAGACATGGAACACGTCAGAGAGGTGTTTTCCTACATGGACAAGGATAAGAAGGGGTACGTCACGGCAGAAGAGATAGAAGGGCTGGACGTTGAAACACTGAAAGATGTTGCACGCGGGGTGGAACCGGCCCACGGGCCAGTTGGAGACGACGAGGGACAGCGGGACGAACTGTAACATATATCGGTTGCTGAAAGTTGGGATATCATTTAGCTTATTATTATGGTTTGAGGGATAGTGCGCATGGGATCAGTAGCATTGTCAAATGTAAAAATTAGCCAAGACAACAATGTATAGTAAGAGTTCCTTTCAATCCAAAGTTGTTGTTTCCGTAACCTGAGTTCAATATTCAACTTGAACTCCAGCATGAAAGAATGAAATGAAGAGTTTCTATCCGTACATTTGGTTACATTCTATAACTTGAAGCTGCTTTGCTCTTTTTCAAATGTCGTGGTGACTTTTCCCTTTCCAGTGGCCGATTTGTATTCAAGTCTTATTACTTGGAGTTTTTTGTTTGTTTTCAATAAAGCTTTTGTTGAGAAGTAAAATTTTGAAAGTGTCTCCTTTGACATGACTTAAATGCTTTCGTATGTGTGCTTCTAAGAGTTTCGTAGTCACTGTTTGTGAAAAGCTTCTTTTATTATCTGCAGGTCTTTCCTGACATTACCTTACCATTCCTTCTGATACAAAAAGTCTACAAATTGGATCAAAACTTTAAAAGAAAAGACTGCGTTTTTATTCAAGGATATGGTATTAATTAAGTAGGCACTACAATCGTATTATCATTCTGGCCTACACTGCGCATGGCAATTGTGACGTCAGCCAAAATGGCAGGAGAACTTGAGGAAATAACACACCAAAAATTATTTCAGTCTCATCCCTGTGATATGGAATATCACTGCAGGGCATTAGGAGACAGTAAAATGTAAATATATATGGAATACCAGCTTCTTTTCCTTGAACACACATATCAAAATAAATGAAATATCATAAATGTAGCATTGGAACTAGTAGTACATTGACTTGTATTTAGTAACTTGCCCTCGCTCGGGCTCTACTAAGCTCTCCAAGCAGATCTTTGGGTTTTGGGCTTATTTTTGGCGTGTTCTTTTGTTTTCAAGTTTATCGGACTTTCTTTTTTTCACTGATCGCCCAAAAAGATACCAGTGCAAAAAGAAATCTCGATAAAAAACCTAAAATACGTTAAAATAAGCCCAACCCAAACCTCTGCTTGGAGAGTAATACTAAGCTGAAACCGACTTGATATTCCTACGGCATTCCAAGGGCATGAGAAACATTCTGATCGCATTTGGAGGGAAAACCGGAGCGGTTCAGAATGTTTGGAATGCATCTCGATTGTTGCCGAGATCAATCTATTTTGGGCTGCGGTGTACAGCAAGTGCGAAATGAAAGGAAATGGAACGAAGTTTAAATTGAAATGAAACAAGAGAGATTTTTATATTAAGTAGAAATGTATAAATCGTTCACAACGGGTTCCCCTTTAACCCCCCCCCCCCCCAAATTATGGATGAAATGTACTAGTATTATACCAGAGACGTTAAACGTAGCTTGGTGTACCAGGATCGATCTTTTTACCGACCACATTTGTATCTTACTTAGTCCTTACTCAGTTCCGTTTCCTTACATTTTGTGCTACGTGCTACCTATTTTGTTTCATTCCGATTCATATTCCGTTCTATTTCGTTCCATTTCGCACTTTCTGGAATGCATTTCGCACGCGGCCGGAATGCATTTCAAATGCAGTCAGATCGTCCCGATTGGCCCTCGAATGTGTCCGGACGTGACGTAAAAGAGAACGCCGCTTGCATGCACAATTACGACCGACTGCCGCTGGAATGTAGCAAGAATATAGTCGGAATTAAAAGGAATCGCCTGGTCAACACGCATCGCGTCATGCCGCCCAGGAAGAAGGTGGCCTACAAGGTCAAGAACTACACCGCAGGCCGTGGCTTCGGCTGGGGCAGAGGTAGTACTGAAGAACCAGCGGGTGTTGTAGAAGACGTCCCCCCTCCCCCATACTCTCAGAAGGGCATACTCACAGCCCAGTCCACCTCTGACAGCGACGATGATCTCCATCCCTCCGAGGCTGCTACATGTAAATCCCAGAAGAAGCGCAAGAGGGAGCTCGTGACCGCTGACTTCACGGAGGAACAGGAGCGGGAGATGGTGGAATGGCTCCAGGCCCCGCAGCAAAACTGCCTCTTCAACAAGAAACACCCAAACTACATCAGGAAGGGAGTTAGGGATGCGCTATGGGAGCAGAAGGCCAGAGAACTGTGTAAGACCAGCTACCAACTGAAGAAATGGTACGTAAGTTTAAAGTGAAAACTTAACATCCAACACAAAGCAAGAAGTTCTCTCACCTAGAGCTTTCCACCAGTCACTCTGGTCTTCCTTAGTAGACTGACCCAGTGAGGCTTGTCACCTGGCTTCTTTGAAATGTGACGTCAACACTGGCTAACTACTAGCCGCTCTCACCAGCTACTACTATTGGCTAACGCTAATGAACATGTAAATGAGATAAGGGTCTAAACTGTGTACTTCTGCCTGTTGCAGGTACACCAACATGAGGTCCAGGTTTGGTAAGCTGAAGCAGAACCACACAGGTACTGGAGAGGAGGAACTGATGACTGCACGGGACCGCTGGATCCTCCACCACTTCCAATTCCTCAGGCCCTACCTCATCGTACAGGTCAAAAAGAGGGTAACTGTCAGACTATTTTTTTTTTACCTTCGCAGGTCATGTTTTTGCTTGCGGTTATTTATTACCTTCGCCTAGAGGGTTATGTTTTTGGATGTGTCTGTATGTCTGTATGTATGTAGGTGGTTCAGCATGACACCTTAAGTCCATACGAATGCATTGTTTGGACTGATATGTGGGTAGATATTGACCTGTAGAAGAAATTAGTAGATTTCAGACCCCCTGGCAGCTGTCCTTGGTACTGAAGCATAACTTCTGGTTTTGATATATCACGTCCTATGATCATGATTTTTAGCAACGTGAAGAATTATAGTTATACATACACCCTACCCAGTTAAGTTTGCAACTTTGGGAGGCCAAGGCATGGCAAGAGGTTGACAGGTTGTCATGATTTTCAATATGTAGTTAGTTTAATGCCAATTATGCAAATCATGAGTTAATTTGCATAATTAATGCAGAAATTCTAAACATTAGCTGCGTTTCATGTTGGCACTTGTATAACAAAAATGGAACATGTGTAACTGTGAAAGAGAAACTTAAGGTTTGAGATCGTGGAACTTGCTTAACTACTTAGATGTGATGAAATTGCAACCATTTTTTCTTACATTACTTGCGATTGTTCTTTGTCCAGGTGAAGGCAAAGGTCCGAGCCACTACAGTTCCAGCTCCAACCCAGTCTGAGTCTGACCATCATCCCCCTGCTGCAGCCGCTCAGTCTGATGCAGACACCTCCCTGGGGTCCAGGGCTACCGACGACACCGACACCACCTGGGGAAACATCGCCGAACTACAGAAACAGCTGCTGAACAAGCTTTCCGAGACCAAGAAGTCGGCCATGCAGCGTCAGAAGGACAGCTTCGCCGACTACATGAAGGAGGTGACTTACACGTTCCCTCCCCCCATGTGGCTGAGGTTTCAGAGCGAAGTCAACAGCCTGATGCAGGAGTACCAGTTGGAACTCCACCAGGAACACCCTTCTACACACGCTCAGCAGCAAGACGAGTTCACAAGCCCTTACCCTCCTGAACTTACCCCGGGTCCTACCCGCCAGCAGTCTCCTTCAGCAGGCTGGCGGCAGCATCCAACGCAAGTCCACCGACCGACTTCTGTCTGGGGTACGCATCAGGGGGCCAGTTTAGAGCAGGAACAACTACCAGATAGACCACAGTCAGCTCCTCCACCCACCCACTCTGCCAGTAAACCCCATACACAGCCTTCAACATCCGGCCAGGGAAAGGACGCAGAAACTCAACACTATACTGTATACAAATCAACAATTATAAAAGAAGAAAACGACCATTAAAATTTTTTCTTGGACCAGGTTGTAAAAGAAGAAAATGACCTTAAAAAGTTTTTTTCTTGGAACAAGTTCAACTAATAGCACCTGCATTCCTTTTCACTGTAGACAATGGACATTCAAACACAAGTTTCAGAAATTTATGTTGATGTTAGATTTTGAGATGCCAACATTTGTACTTTTGTACAATGCCAGAATAGAATGATAATGTTACAAAAGTATGGTATCTATACTAGACTATATTGGAAAATACGTCTACATTGTAAGAGTAAGACATTTTCCCAACCATGCAATTCAAAAGTTTATTCTCATATAAATTTAGGTTCACACATTGGGATTTTTTCCAAGTTTCATAGCTTTGTTGACCACACATCACTCTATGTTTCAATGTGATACTTAACTTTGACAAACTCACCTTTATGTGAGTCATGCCCGCAAATGTTACCATACAAGTTATCAGTTTTTCTAATACATTTAGTGTAAGAATAGATCAAGCCAATAATAAAGTCACTTCTAATAAAAGTCAGTGACAGTATAAGTAGTACATATGTAAGTATAGTCATTTACTAAATACCTCAGAAAGGATATAAAAAATTCTTCATGGCGAAAAATACACTGTTGTACCTACACAAAATAATGAAACTTGAATTATTCTTTAGAAAGGAACACAACTTCATGTCAGATTTGGACTCAAGTTATATTAGTTCCATGCTGTATGTATTTCCAAAGAGATCCTTGTAACCAAGTGATATAGACCAGACTTATTTGTTGGGTGTTCTGGGTGTCCTGGTCCGAGCACTTCTCCTTGTGGCACCCCCCGGCTGGTTCTCGGCCTCTGATGAGCTGCCGCTCTGAGGACGACTGCGGGTTCGCTGTCTCGACTTGTTCGGGGTCACAACCTTCCACTCCACGGGTTTTTCTGTGGCCTCCGGGTGCTTCAGACAGATGACCGCCATCTTCTCTGTCACCTCGGGCTCCTCTGCGTCGGCTGCCATGTTAAGACTGGGACTGCGCTCCGACGTGGACGGGACCCTGCGAGTTGTGCCATTGGGCACAATTGGCGTAATGGCGCTGACGTCAAATGGAACCTGTGATGAGACACACACCACACATATAAAACCATACACTGACAGACATCTTTGTAAAATGAAAAATTCTAATGTTCTGCAATGCACTAGATCGATTTAAGGTTCCACTATTTAATAGGAGTGACAGGCACAGGAGCAGAGTTTTCCCCCTTTTTTAGGCTTGATTATGTGGATAACATCTGATCATGAGCATGCATAATTTTCGTCCATTTCCCCTTCCCCAAAACATTTGTGATCATATGTACTATTTTTTGAGTAATGGAAGGATGACAGGTCGAAAGGAAGGTGCCAGAGGAAGGCTAGGGAAGCAGGGCTCGAATTTCTACAACCTTCCACCACACCAAGTCTTCCAATGTCAAAGATGTGAAAGAACAGAAAAAATATTTATTGTGTGGCAAATACAGTGTATATAATGTTTTTTTATATACTTAGTGTGTTCAATCATTAAACTTTGTTCAACCTACCTGACCACTTAGATTTCAAAATAAAAGCAACTTTTTTCACACGCATCAGTTTTGGGGTGCCCACAGGATGTCATCCGCATAATCAAATCTGCATGGGCCTTACAT